CCTCATCCCGCGTCCTCGACGGATGTGGCGGCTGTGGGTTGCGCTGGACGAGATTTGCCAGGTCCGCCATCTCGGTCCAGCGCAGCTTCGCAGAGTCATCGGGCACCTGGTCGACCACTTCAGCGTCAGGAGAGAGCTCCTCAGCTGCCTGTGCTCGGTCTACCAGTTCGTGGGCGATGGATTGGGACCACCGCGAGCTCTCGACCATGCCGTGGTCACCGAGCTCAGGGTCGCCCAGGGCCTGCTGCCGCTCGCGGTGTCGGAGCTGGGCAGGAGCATTGCCTCGGTGGCATACTGCTCTGACTCGAGCTCGAGGGGCTTCGCGCTGCACGTCACCGAGACCGACCCGCGCGAGGCCTGGGCTGCAGCTCAATTCCATGAGAGGTGGAGGTTCCGAGAGGCCGACCCGCCTCCCCTTCCCGAGGATCGAGGTGACGACCTTCGAGGCGCTCTGGTGCCAGGAGCGGTGGGCTCGGTCCTCACTGGCGACTTCACCGCCTTCGCGCAGGAGCACCTGCTGGTCAAGCCGCGGCCGACCGGGCCTGCTGCGCTTGGCATCGCCGCGCCCGGCCTGGTGGAGGTCGTCGGCCGCGTCCCCAGGCTCGCGCCGAGCTGGGGCGAGCCAGGCCGCTGGCGCGCAGTGGCGATCGGCGCCTGGAGACGGCCTGACAAGATCCACAACCTGGAAGCTCGTGCTGCCATCATGGGCCTGGAGGAGTACTGCAAGGATCCCGCGAACCACTCGCGCGTGCTTCTCTCGCTCGGGGACAACATGTCCGAGGTCCTCGCCATGGACAGAGGTCGTGCCCGATCGTGGGAGCTGCTGGCTCTGGCGCGGCGCGCCGCCGCGCTCCAGGCCGCGGCCAACGTTCGCTGGGCCCGGAGGCACATCGAGACGGAGCGCAACCCCAGTGACTATGGGTCCCGGTTGCCGCACCTCCGGCCAGGCGAGGTTCGCCGAGGCCGTGGTGCTGAGGCGCTGGACGAGGGCCGCCTCCGCGTGCTGCCCGCTGCCGCCCAGGAGGCGGCGCCGCTGGCCGTGGCGCGCCCTGCGGAGGACGCGGGCCTGGCCGCGGTGGATGTGCGGCTTGCAGGTGCGGCTGCCGTGGCGCGCCCCGTGCGGCCCTCCAGGCCAGTACGGGTACCTAGGCCTGAAGTCCGTGCACCGCCGGGCCTTCGGCGTCAGGGCAAGGCCTTCCTGGAGATCTTTGCGGGCTGCATGCGCCTTTCGGCGGCGGTGGCCCTCGCGGGCTTGTCCGTGGCGGTCCCCATCGACTACGAGAATGGCGAGCATTTCGACATCATCTCGCGACCCATCGCTGAGGTGGTGCTCAACTGGATTCGAGGTGGCCGCATCTGGGCCGTCGCCCTCGGCACGCCCTGCACGCGCTGGAGCTCAGCCCGACGGTCGGACCCATCGGGTACCACGGAGAAGGATGGCTTGGAGTGCGCCCGGTTCACTGTACGAGTCCTACGGGAGTGCTTTGTCCACAACGTTTTCGTGGTACTGGAGAACCCGTGGTCGTCTGGGCTTTGGCAGTGGCAGCCTATCAGGAAGCAGCTCAGGCGTCTGGGGTGCGAGCGTCATGAAGTTCACATGTGTGCCTATGGTGCCGCCTGGAAGAAGCCAACTGGTCTCTGCAGTAACCTTCCCAACTTCGAGCAAGCGGTCCGCCGTTGTCCAGGCTGCCAGCGTCACGTCATACTACAAGGCTCGGTCTTCGTTGAGGGCATCGGTTGGCGTTGGCGGACTTCGTATGCCTCGGCTTACCCTCCAGCTCTTTGTCGGGCTGTGGCCCAGGTGCTTGGGGATGCCGCCCCGCCCAGCGCCTTCTGCCGAGGCGGCGAGCAGCTCTTGGCGCCCTCGTGGGAGGCCGAGCTCCGCCAGGCCGCAGGCACGGTCGACCCGTGCCCCGCAGCCGCACTGGCGCTCCCAGTCCTCCCGCGGCGGGCCTCGCTCGGCTGGGAGCGGGCGAGCCGCTCCTGGGACGGCGTCTCCCTGGGCGAGGAGCTGGACATCCTGCGCTCTCACCGAAGTGGAGACTCGTAACCGCCGTCGTGGCCAGCGACTTCGGCAGCATGGAGCTGAAGAGCCTGGATTCCTCAAGAAGCTGACGGTGACGCCGGTCACACGGAGGCGATATGAGGCCGCCTATGCTGATGTGGTGCGCTTCCTGGGCCGCTGCGTCCCCAGTGCCAAGAGCCTTGAGGCGTGGGACCGTGCGCTGGAGGACTACATCGAGAAGCTCTATCTTGCGGGAGATCGCATCACCGTGGCCAGGTACGCTTTCCATGGGGTCGCGTTCGTCAACGAGTGGCCCCGGCGAGACCCCTCGCTGCTGCCGAGGTCCCGGCTGGCCCTCCTCGGCTTTGCCCGGTCGTCGCCTGAGCACTGCCGTGACCCGCCCTGTATGGAGCAGGTCTACCTGGCCATCGACTACTTCATCGGGCGCGCTGCCGGCCAGGACCTTCTGCTGTACGCCATGGCGGCCGCGCACGCCTGGATCAGCGTCGACTGCTACCTCAGGCCGTCCGAGGGCCTGTCGCTGGTGGGCGCCGCTGTGAGTAGGCCGCGCCGTGGGGCCGCTGCGCAGGGTTGGGCTCTGACGATCGCGCCCCGAGGAGGGCCACCCGCCAAGAACAGGAGGTTCGATGCGAGTGTGGTCGTGGGTGCCCATGACAGGCAGTGGGCCTGCCAGCTGCTTGAGCTCCTGACACGCAATCTAGGATCTGACCAGCCACTCTTTCGTTGCCTCACGCTGAGCACCTTAGAGCGGCTCTACCGAGAGATGAGTAAAGCTCTTTCTTTTCCTATGTTAGCGCATGGGCTTCGCCATGCGGGGCCTAGTCATGATTCGCTGGTGCACAAAGTTCCCATCGAAGATATCCAGCAGCGAGGGCGGTGGGTGTCTCTCGAGAGCTGCCGCATTTACACCAAGCCCGCCAGTCTCGTTCGCTCGCTCGGCCGTGTCTCAGATCAGCTTCTTCGCCAGGCGGCGCGCCTACGCAGTGACCTGCCCGAACGAGTGTTGCAGGTAGTCAGTGAGGCCCTCGCAGTATCTCGGCGTGCCGGCAATCCTGGCATTTCAAAGCGTGGCCGGAGATGAGCAACAGAGCATCTCCGGACTTCTTCGGGGACCCACCCCTCAGGCACCTCTCGCGTGTTGCGAGCCGGCTCATAAGATGCACGTCGACATCTATCGATCGTCGCTTGCTGCTCTCTTTGTGTGCATGCATGAGTGTGTCTTTGAGCCGAAGCACGTTTATTCAGGGATGTGAGATGTGCCTGCACAGTTTATCCCTCTTCTTAGTGCTTCTGCAGTTCTTTTCTCGCCCCTTTCCCCCCTTGTCCTTCCCTCTTCTTCCGTCTCCTCCACTTGTGTGCCCTCGACGGTGTTGTGCCACTGACTTACACTAGCCTCTTGTGCGCTGCTGGAGTTGGTATTTGGCATTTCAAAGCGTGGCCGGAGATGAGCAACAGAGCATCTCCGGACTTCTTCGGGGACCCACCCCTCAGGCACCTCTCGCGTGTTGCGAGCCGGCTCATAAGATGCACGTCGACATCTATCGATCGTCGCTTGCTGCTCTCTTTGTGTGCATGCATGAGTGTGTCTTTGAGCCGAAGCACGTTTATTCAGGGATGTGTATGTATGTATGTGTGTATGTATGCATCTATGTGTATGCATGTATGCATGCATGCATGCATGCATGCATGTATGCATGGACCCAGGTATGTATGGGTGCATGTATGCATGTATGCATATGTATGCCCCCCGGGCAACTATACGCGATGAGAGCTCTCGGCCCTCTGCTCGGCCTGGGCGCGCGCCTCCGGCGGTGGCGCGCATACGGCGCCCCAGCTCCGCGCCCCCGGAGCTCCCGCGAAACCCAGCTCCGCCGCGCGCGGACCTCCGGAGGCGTGGGCCCCTGCCATCTGTATAGGGCGGGCTCTGCACGCCGCGCGCAGGCCTTTGGACGGCCCCGGGGGCCCGGCGAGGGCCCTCCCCCTCCATTGGAGGCCGAGGCTTCAAACGACGCGAAGATCGGGACAGAATCGGATCGGGATGACTCGAAATCTCCGAGAAGCGGCGGGTTTGGAGGATGTATTGGGCGCCGCGGCCGCTCCAGGGCGTTCCGGGACGCTCTGAGAGCGCTCCGGAACGCTCTGGAGCGATTTATCCCGACCCGAGCCCTGTTTTATCGGACGGCCCCAGGGCCCGGCGAGGGCCCCCCCAGAGGCCGAGGCTTTCCTCGGGTCCCCTCCCGTCGCGTCTTTCCTGCCAGGTCGGCGAGGAGGCGGGGGCCCTCTTGCGGCGTCCTGTGTGCGGCCCCGCCGCGGCGGCGGCGGCCGGCGGCGGCTCCTGCTCGCTCCTCCTCCGCCTCCTCCGTCTAGAGGTCGACACCAGCACCGATAGCGGCGGTGTGCCTCCATCGATGGAAGAGCATCCCGGCGTCCTGGGTAGATGGCCGAGAGGCTGCCATCCACATCGAAGTCCAGGATCGTCTTCTTCGAGTTGAGGCAACCCCTTGTTTTGGTGTCGGTGCCCCTCTCCAAGCTCCTCGCCCTCCCTTCTCCCCCCTCCCCCCATCACGCACGTACGCACCTGGCCCACCACCAAACCACCAAGACGCCACACCACGTCACACCACAGCACACGCGCACACACGCACACACACACACACACATACACCACCACCACAACAACCACAAGCACGCACACACGCACGCACGCACGCGCGCCACCACCCACTACGCACACGCGCGCGGAGCCACAGGTCCGCGCGTCCGCGGGTAGAGAAAATTAGCGCCATGGTAAGGGATGGGAGGGAGGGGTAGGATGTCAGATGTTGACGCGAGCGCACCTAACTTGCCCCTCCCCCTCCGCCACCTCCCCCTCTTTCCCCTCCTCCTCCTCCTCCTCCTCCTCCTCTCTCAGCCTTCCTCCTCCTCCTCCTCCTTGTCCTCCTCCTTCCACAGAACGAGCGGCGGCTCCTCTCAGGGCTTCTCCTTCGCCAGCGGCGGGCAGCCATTCGTGCCCTACGGTAGCCTGCTGTCGGAGCGGCTCGCAGGTTCCGCGGGGGACGCGCGACTTCTCTGGGTCTCCCCGCCTTGCCTTGCGCCGGGAGGAAGGTCGTCGTCGTGGTCGTCGTCGTCGTCGCCGCCGCCGTCGTCGTCGTCGTCGTCGTCGTCGTCGTCGTCGTCGCCGTCGTCGTCGTCGTCGTCGTCGTCGTCGTCGTCGTCGTCGTCGTCGTCTCCGTCGTCGTCGTCGTCGTCGTCCCTCCTCCTCTGAGTCAGGGCCAACGACCACAAGTGTACTCGAAGCGGCACGAGCGTACACTTCCGCCTCTGCTGCGCCTCCAGCGCCGCTTCTGGCGCCAGAGGCGCGCCAGGTGAGGAGATTCCAGCGCCGATGCCAGAAATCCGCGCGGGCCTCCGAAAGCCTGCGTTCATCCTTTTGTTGTTATCTCTTCTACGCACACCCGAGGTAGGTCAGGCCAATCCTCGGCGCGGGGTCGGTGTACGCATGCGCCCTCTTGGCCAGGAACGGCGCATGCACCACTCTTGGACCCAAGCTGGGCTGGGCCACGATCGGTGTCGGTCGTCGTCCGATCCTCACCCCCGTCCCTCCTCCTCACCCTCGCATCCGCGCGCGCGCGGGTGGCCGGAGGAGGGAAAAGGTCGAGGTAGGTGGAGGGGGCGGCGGAGGAGGGAGGAGGGAGGAGGAGGTGGAGGAGGAGGAGGAGGAGGAGGGGGAGGAGGAGAAGGAGGAGGAGGAGGAGGAGGCGGGGGGGAAGGAGGCGGGGGAGGAGGAGGTGGGGGAGGAGGAGGAGCGGCCTGGCTCAGGCACCGGCATCGCCTGTACAGGTATTGTACATACTCTGCGTCATCTCGGTTCCATGTCCAACGATGGTTTCTCGTTTGCTCGGCTTCTACGGCAAGGCACTGCGTGCAGTCTGCGCGGCAACTGGGCAACACTACGAAGGGCTCACCCAGTCAGCTCGGGCCTTGCGGCGGGCCAACATCCTGAACCCCAACCAGGACCGCAAGCTGGAGCGCGTCGACACTGCTTTCAACCACGTGCGAAGGTCACGGGCCCGAGGACGCAGTCTTTCATGCAGGCTCTGAACACTGCCCTCGGTGGAGACATCACGAGCGGCTTGCGGCGAGATGCGCCTGTCTTCACCCCAGGCTTCATCACAGCCACAGGCGACCTCGGAGCGTGGATGCCGCCCACGCGTCCTTCGGCCCCGCCCTCGGCATCACCCGCGGCACCCGCGAAGCAGCAGGCACCTGCGGCTGCGGGGCTCTCGGACGCCGGCTGCGCCCGCGGAGCCGGCCGAGGGCGCCAGGGCCACTGCTTGCGCCGAGGGGGGCGACGGCGCCAGGGCAGCGGCCGGCCCCCCGCCCCCGCGCGGAGCGCGGCTGCCGCGTGGGGTCGCCTCCTGGCCAGGTGTTTCCCCAGGGTTTGGGGCCCCGGGGCCCCCTCCTCGCCGTGCTGGCGCTCTCTGTTTGGCGCGTCGTCTCCAGGCGTCTTTCCCGGCCAGCGGGGCACGGCAAGCTCTCGCCAAGCTCTGGTTGGGGGTGCTCTGTCTGGGCGGTGCTCTTTCTCATGAGGTCACCGAGCTGGCGGGCCCGCGCGCAGTCGGCCTTGAAGGCGATCGAAACGTTTGAGTTCTCGCGGCGGAGGCAGCGGGTGAAGACTCGCAGCCTCAGCGGGCGCTGGGGTCGGGGGCGCCCTGTGCTCGCGCACTAAGGCGTCGGCCCCTGGGCGCCCAGCTCTGTCGCTGCCAATATGGGAACGACGCCCAGCCGAGGTGGCTGAGGACGGGGGGCATCCTCGAGCGGGGGTGGTCGAAGTTGTGTCAGGTCGGAGTTCTCGGGGATGTTATTTTTCCCAGAAAGGGCGTCGGCCCAGGGTTCTCTTTTAGTAGGTTTACCCCCGGCCTCGACTTGCGTGGGGCCGGCGAACTTATTTGCGGTAAACAACGAGGTCGCGTAGCGCCAGCGAAATGATTCTCGAGGCTATTCCGAGCAAAACGTTTGTTTTGCAGAACTTGTTGAGGATGTCTCGAACGAAACGCTTGTTTTGTATCATAGATTGTCCTCTCCTTGGGACCAGATTCAGAGGATTTCTCAAGTGAACTGCTTGTTTTCACGTGCCCAGGTCTTGAGGGTATCTCGAGCGAGACGCTTGGTTTCACGCGCCCAGGTTGCCCAGGCAGATATCTAGCATGAGGATTTGTTGAGGATGTCTCGAGCGAGATGCTTGTTTTCACGCGTCCAGGTCGCCCAGGCGGATGTCTAGCACAAGGATGTGTTGAGGAAGTCTCGATCGAGACGTTTGCTTGCACTTGTCCAGGTTGCCAAGGCGGATGTCTAGCATGAGGAGGTGTTGAGAACGTCTTGAGCGAAGCGCTTGTTTTCACACGTCCAGGTCGCCCAGGCGGATGTCCAGCATGAGGATGTGTTGAGGATGTCTCGAGCGAGACGTTTTCTTTCACGTGTCCAGGTCGCCCAGGCGGATGTCTAGCATGAGGAGGTGTTGAGAACGTCTCAAGCGAAACGCTTGTTTTCACGTGCCCAGGTCACCCAGGTGGACTTCAAAGATGAAGATGTGTTGAGGATGTCTCGAGCGAACCACTTGTTTTCGCGTGTCCATTTCGCCCAGGCGGATGTCTAGCATGAGGATGTGTTGAGGTTGTCCCGAGCGAGACGCTTGTTTTCACGCGTCCAGGTCGCCCAGGCGGATGTCTAGCATGAGGATTTAGGCATGCTGTCTCGAGCGAAACGCACGTTCCCAGCACGTTCCGTAGCGCGTCCCCTTGGCACGTCCCGCGGTGCGTCCCCATGGCATGTCCCCTGGCACGTCGCCTGGCGCGTCCCTTGGGACGTTCCGCGGCGCGTCCTTCAGCTCTTGGGCAGCTGCTATGTGCTCAGGCAACTCGAGCTTAAGATCCAGATCAGTTCGGTCAGGACTCGGATGCAAAGGAGGACTTGATCCACAACGCTATAGAGCATAATTGCGGCGTGGCACATCGCAATTCAGCACCGCGCAGCACAGCACAGCCTTGGCACGGTACATCAAGATCGATACATCCGGCATTGCAACTTGGCACGTTCCGTGGCGCGTCCCCTGGCGAGTCCCCCTGGCACGTCGCGCGGCGCGTCCCCTAGCACGTCCCGTGGCACGTCCATTGGCACGTTCCGTAGCGCGTCCCCTTGGCACGTCCTGCGATGCGTCCCCATGGCATGTCCCTTGGCACGTCGCTTGGCGCGTCCCTTGGCACGTTCCGCGGCGCGTCCTTCTGGCATGTCCCGCTGGCGTTCTCAGGCAGCGCGAGCTTACGATCCAGGTCAGTTCGGTCAGGACTCGGATGCAAAGGAGGACTCGATACAGAAGGCTGTAGCGCACAATCGCGGCATGGCACATCGCAATTCAGCACGGCGCAGCACAGCACAGCCCTTGGCACAGTACATCAAGATATATATATATATATATATATACATAGTCAGCATTGCATTTGTCCGTCGCCCAATCAGGTGTCTTTGAAACGTTGCCATGCCTTACATTTCTATCTTCCTTTCCGGGTTCGTGGGTCGATCATGTTTCCCGGACAGTGCCCGAGCCCAGGGTTCTCTTTTAGATGGTTTCTCCCTGGTTTCGACGGCTGTAGGGCAGGCGAAATTATTTGCGATGAATAACAGGGTCGCGTAGGGCTGGCGAAATCATGCTTGAGGATGTCCCTCGCGAAACGGCTGTTTTATATAAGTTTGTTGAGGATGTCTCAGGCGAAACGCTTGTTTTGCAGAGTTGTAGGGTGTCTCAAGCGGGGGCCTCGTGGGGGGCCAGCATTCAGAGGATGTCTCAGGCGAAATGCTTGTTTCCTTGTGCCCAGGCCACCCAGGGAGGTATCTAACATGGTTGTCCCGAGCTGGCGCCCCAGACGACAGCATGTTGGATATCCCCCCTGGGTGGGCTGGAACCATGAGTTCTTACTACATGTGCAGCCACCCAGGAGGGTATCTAACATGGTGCTCCCGAGCTGTAATCATGTGAAAGAGCGTGTTCTACCGCTGCTGGCGGAAAACCGGGGGGGGGTCACTACCGGTTCGAACCCCTCCGCCCCGCCCCCTTCCGGAAAACCGGGGGGGGGTCACTACCGGTTCGAACCCCTCCCCCCCCCCCCTCCCAGTTCATCATGAAAAGGGGGGGGGGGTTCACTACCAGTTCGACCCCCCCCCCTCGAGCTCGAAAACCGGGGGGGGTCACTACCGGTCCGGTTCGAACCCCCCCCCCCCCCGAAAACCGGGGGGTTGACGGACAGTGGTGGGGACGGTGGTGGTGGGGACAGTGGTGAGGGGACAGCGGGACAGTGGTGGGGACAGTGGGACAGTGGTGGGGACGGTAGTGGTGGGGACAATGGTGAGGACAATGGTGGGGACAGTGGGGACAGTGGGACAGTGGTGGGGACGGTGGTGGTGGGGACAGTGGTGTGGGGACAGTGGGAATGTGGTGGAAACAGTAGGACAGTGGAGGGTACAGTGGTGGTGGGGACAGTGGTGAAGGCGGTGGCGAGGACGGCGGTGGGACAATGGGACAGAGGTACAGTGGGGACAGTGGTAGGGACAGGGGGGACAGTGGTGGGAACAGTGGGACAGCTCAGTGGTTCGAACCGGTAGTGACCCCCCCCTCCGGCAGTTTTCGAATCATGTGTTTTCACGTGTCCAGGCCACCCAGGAGGGGTATCTAACATGGTGTTCCCGAGTTGAAGCCATGTTTGTTTTCATGGTCAGGCCACCCAGGAGGGGTATCCAACATGGTGGTCCTGCGCTGGAACCGCGTGTTTTCACGTGTCCAGGCCACCCATGGGGGGGTATCTAACATGGTGGTCCTGTGCTGGAACCTTGTGTTTTTACGTGTCCAGGCCACCCAGTGGGGTATCTAACATGGGCCTCCTGGGGCCGTCCTGGGGCCCGGAACGGAACGTCGAGAGTTTGTTGGTATTTGGTACCGATTCGTTGACTTTTTGGCCTCCAGGCGCCTCTGGGCGTTCATGTGCCGCCCTCT